ACAGACAAAGTCCCAGGGGCAGAAGTTCGACCAAATCTACTTTATACTTTCTAAAGCCTGTATGTAGTTACGGACAGCTATGTATTACTGTCCTAAGAACTCAAAGACCTCGGGAAGTACTGTACCTGAAAATGAGGCCATGACTTGTCCTTACGGTGAAATTCATGAATATGTAAATGAAGGAATGATGCAAGCCTTGATTTTTGAGAAAATAACTATTCAGATCTGTTTTGGCCTGGATAATGTAACGTTCATACCGAACAGGTTTCTTTGCTCCTAGTCTCCCCCTGCTCTAATCCAGATGGCTTGGAGAGGGACCTTGCCTCGAGTTTTGCTACTCAAGGTGGGGTCCGTGGAGAGCGGTGGCACCATTGCCTGGGAGCTTGTTGGATGTGTAGGATCTCAGGTCTTGCCCCACACCTACTGGTTCAGAGCCTGCGTTTTAACAAGATTCCAGGCGATTTGGGCGCACATGACAGTGTAGAAAGCACTGAGAGCTTTAATACAAATCTGACTATGCCTTTCCCCAGCTATCAACCCTTCTAAGGCTGCTACTGTCTCAGGGACATAACCTAAGCTCTTGGCCTGACATTCAAGGCCTTCGATGACTCAACCTCCATCTACCTTTCCACCTGACATCCCAACTCTTGCCCTCATATCCCTACACCCCAGCCACACCTAACCCTTCATGGCAGCCCAGTCCTGCCCTCTGAGCCTTTGCTTAGGTGGATGATGCTGCCATGGCCATGGTTCCTGTATGTATCCAGATGGCCAGCTTTAACAGTCAGCGCGACCTCCATCTCCACTACAAAGCCTGTTTGATGAAATCCGGACAGAAAGTAATCTCCACAGTGCCCTAATCTCCACAAAGCTGTGTCTAGACCCCCAAGGGAACTTTGTACTTTCTACTTTTTTACACTTAAGTTGTTACTTATGTATAGTTAGCTTATAAAAATCACCTGAAGTATAAAATCTTACCCGATAAACCTTACCCATGTTCTATAGTGGGGATTCAATAAATAGCTTATTAAATGCTTGGATCTATGGGCATACATATGAATACATGAACAAATGAGTATATTAGTACATATATGTAAATGCCTTGCATCAAAAAACGAAAGCAATCCTTGAATTTATGGTATTCGTTCTAAGTTGTATTCAGGTTGCTACCCTAAAAGTTCTTAAAAGGGCACTTCCGGAAAAAAAGACTTCTAACTCACACGAACATTTAGCTACATCTGAGGTAGCTCAGGGCAGCAATAACATCATTTTCATACTAACAAAAGAAAATTTTTATTGTAGTTGTACAAGTTGAGCAAGTTTCCAGCACAGGGCAAGAAGCTTTATTCAAAAGGAGTAAATTATGGTCTTTTCTGCAGTTAAATTTTTCACCAACATGAGATGAATAAACTCCTTCTGGAAATTACTCTTATGAAATTACTTCTTCCAGGACACTTAATAGTATATTCTGGTGCCCCTGAAAAATTAATTAACCTTACCTGTAACAACCTAACCCCTAAACCATTTGCAGTGTTTTTACTGTGGGTCAGGTTAATCTTCTCTACCTTAATTTACATCTAAGTGAGGGTGGTCTAAATTACACTGGGGCCTTTTGGTCGCTGGTACTTTGCCTTGTGCCATTTCTTTAGATGACATTCTGCTCATGTCCAAATGCATGGATCTTTTTTAAAATGGCAAGCCTCTGAGATTACCAGGGAGAACTTTGCAACCTTTTTTGGGGGGCAGGGGGAGGAGAGAACACTGCTGCCATCCTTAGAGGTCAAAACACAGCAGCAAGCGGGGGATGGGCAAGGCTGTAGTTCTATTGTTTGGTCCTACCAGGGATGTATTTTTTTCTGAGAAAGTCTGGATGTTAAGAGCCTCGGGACCATAAAGATATTGGGACCAGGCTCCACCTGGGATTAGATTATGGGTCATCAGCAAGATTTATCAATCCTCTCCTCCCTTTTGTTATCCAAAAGATATCTAAAAATTATACTCCAGTCCTTATCAGGAGACAAAGAAAAGTTACTGAAAATGTCACAACTGTTGATCTGTAGACCTAGGGCCTCTGCTACTTGCTGGGGGAACAAAACTCTTCCTGTACCTCTGTGATTCTGGAATGTTAGCTCTTCAGCTGTGAGAGTTTTCCTTTTCCTTTGAGAACAGACACAGAGCATTGCCATTTCCATAAAATAAGGATTTTTGAGCTCAGCATGGGAAAATATTATTAGAAAATAATAGTAATTATTCTGTGCCGCTTTACAAAACAGAATTAGTATCATTAATGCGTATTAATAACAAAACACATATCAATAATGATGAGGCAATCAACTGATACAAACGCATTATGACACAAATAGTATGGAAAGAAGAAATATTTTCTCGAAAAGATGAAGAAAAAGTAGCTCTTTGTAGAAAGAGTGTTAGGCTCCTAAAAATGTGTCACCCTCCCACACTGGCCCAAAGGGGACGTTCGTCTTCTTTTGTTAACTGATCTCTGATGGGCTTTGTCCTCCAAAGTGTGAGCTTCTTTCAGTTGGAATTAATCAGAGATGCAGCGGTGATGAGACCATCCCAGCCGCTGCCAGCCACTACATAAATGCTTCCTTGTTCCCACCCGCACTGGCGAAGGACAGAGTTGGAACAATGAGAGCTAATGATGGAACTCTGGAAGCTATCATTTCGAATCAGGCCATTACTTATGCTACCCTTGTGAAAATCAAGCCAGGCTCATGTTCCATTTCAGCTCAGGGGGCCCTGGGCCCACGCAGGGGCTAAACAAGCTCAGAGCAGACAGAGGGCTTCGGGTCCCCACGTGGACACTGGATGCTGGCATGGGATGACCATTGGCCAAGGCATGTTCCAGACTGCGTGGTGGGCCATGGCGTGTTACAGGCCAGGCTTGCAAAGAGCCACATGCTGCTGGCTGGAAAGATCCAGGCTTGCCTTCTGGCCAGTGTGAAACCCACCTGAGTCAGGCACTCTCTCTAAGAATTCTCCCTGCATATGCTCGGGGATCCCCTCTATTGAAATCCCAGACCTGTCCTATTCCTACCAGTCTATGTACTACTGTGAGGAATTGAGACAAACTTCAAAACATAGCTGTACAGATGCATAAGTGAGCCTTGCTGAGGCCAGCTCAGATCAGCAGAACTGCTCGTCGGATCCCAAGACTCATGATAAATAATGCACAGTGGTTGCTTTTAGTTCTAAGTTTTGGGGCGGTTTGTTACACAGTGGTAGCAAGTGATTTAACTAGTTAGTACAGTTTGATACAAGCACAGTTGTTATGGCAGATAATCATCAGGTTAGAAAGCGGGTAGGTCAGGTTGCAGGGTAGCGATTTTAAGTGGGAGACAGTTGGGAGCCACTAGAGATTTCTGAGCAGGGTACACACATATTGGAGAGTAGTGCTCCAGAAGCTTTATCCTATAGCAGCAGGGGGAAGATGGGAATGAAGTAGGGAGAGTCTAGAAGACAGGAAATACGGCACCAAGCCGTGCCGAGGAAGTAAAGAGGGTTGAGCTAAAGCCAGAGGGGGTGGGAATGGAGGTGTGAGAAACTCTGAAGAAAGAGTGGCCACAGAGCAGATATGGATGAGGAAGGAAAGTTGACAGTGGTCGATGATGACTCCAGGTAGCTGGGTAGCTGAGAGAGTGACAAAAAAAGGGAAGCAGCATGGAGAACTGGTGATGTCATACTTGAGAAGTCCACAGAATATTTAGGTAGTAAAGTTTGCACTTTGGGAAATAAGGGACTGGAGCTCTGCAGATGGCATCCAGTGGGAGAAAAATATTTCAAGAATATTTTCATAGAGGTGATGGTTGCAGGTGTGACTCAGAGCAATGGAGGATGGAGAGAAAATACAGAAATCAAGGAAACAATCTTGGCACCTGCATGCTGGGCATATTAGTTACCCACTGCTGGGCCACAAGTTACCTCAAAACTTAGCAGCTGGAGACTCAGGAGCCTGGGAGCAGTTTATCTGGGTGGTTCTCACTAGTGGTCGCTCATGAAATTGTCATCAAAATGTTAACTAGCGCAACTGTCATCTGGAGGCTTGACCGGGGCTGGAGAATCTGCTTCCAAGATGGTGCACCCAGATGGCTGGTGGCTAGAAGGCTTCAGTTCCAGACCACATGAACAACATGTGGGACTGCTTGGGTATCCTCAAGACATGGCAGCTGGCTTCCTCCAGAGAGAATGACCCAAGACAGAGAGAGCAAGGAAGATCCCATATATCTTTTCTGACCTAGCCTAGGAAGTCACATACTATCACTTGTGCTGTATTCTATTAGTCACACAGATGAACCCTGATACAGTGTGGAGAGGAATATACAAGGGTATGAATACCAGGAAGTGGGGATCATTTGGGGCCATACTGGAAGCTGGCAATCACACTGGGGGGTAGAAAAAGAAGACAGACAAAACTTAGAAAGGTGAGGGATAGTTTAGCTGGGGAAACAAGACTGTCACATGGGAAGACAGATGCCTCTCATACTTGTGGGCTCCTCTGGCACCTAAATGGGCCAGTGATCTCCTTCAAAACACTCTGCCTCCAGAAAGTGTGCCTGGTAGAGGAGAAGCTTTTATTCTCCTTTCAACTAACTCCCAGACCACTTCCCCTGTGCCTGGCAATGTGTTGAGATCTCCCCAAAGTTGGCACCATCATCTCGCCAGTTTATAGGTAAGGAAACAGGCAGAAGTTACTAGTCCAAAATCTCAGAGCCAACACAATGTGGGGGTGGACTATGAGCCTGAGCTGTTCAAATCCTGAGCCCTTTCTCTTAACCTCTATGTCACTGTGCTGAGTACAGAGGCCTGCACTCTTCTGCTGGAAGCCCCAAACAACACAAACCCATATAAGCAACAAGAGGAAATGCGAGGGATGACCCCACAGTGCCCCAGAAGCTACAGGAAGGAGCTGAAGTCCACTGAGCCCTGCCTCCGTTCCAGGCACAGGTCAGGCAGAGACAGAGAAATCAAGGCGTGCTTACCATCCTCAGAATTTGCTTTGTTCTCAGTGGGCTGCTCGATGAACTTCAGCAGTGGGGATCTTGATCTCTGTATGGTGGGAAGAGCAGGGTCACTGAACAGTATGGTGTCCTTGCCCCCTGTCATGGAAAAGGGGAACATGGACATATTATGTCACCAGTGGAGTTGTGGTTATGTTCGCCCCACACAATGGACTGGCTGTTTGGGTGAACAAGGCACTTTCTTTAATCATAGGTAACGCTACAGAAGGGCAATGGCCAGCCGGCCCTTTCTGTAGTGTGAGGGCCAGGCAGTGAGGTCCAGGGCCAGTCTGTGAGTCTGCTCAGGACATGGCCGCCCACAAATGCCACCATGAAGGAGCAGCCTGGTATGTTGGCCAAAAACCGAATGGCTTTGATCTGGGTGAGAAGAGAACAGGCATAACCACAGCAGAGGGCTGAGGAGTGCTGGCTCTGGAGCCAAACTACAGGGTTTGTGTTCTGGACTCTGTCCCTTGCTAGCTGGCTGACCTCAGGCAAGTCACTCAGCCTCAGAGCCCTCGTCTGTAAAATGAGGAAGAAGAACAGCACCTACCTCATTGGGCGGTGGTGATGAAATGAACGGATTCATGTAAAGCCCTTAAGCATTTCACTAGCACTCAATAAATGTCATATACTGAAATTATCACCTTACGGTGTAGACAGCACTGCCATATGCTACCTTTGATTTAATTCAATGTGGTCATTTAGACTGAGTAACGACTCTGTCATAAGGCGGGTAGTCTCAGATCCCCCAAACTGTCATGGCTAAACTTTCACTTAGAACATATAGTCCCCTACCAGCCAAACCCTTGTATCCATTTGTATGAACTCCCCCAGTGGATGGAGAGGTTGAGGGAAAGAAGACCCTCACCGCTCTATTGTGGAGGCCATGGCAAGTTCTGGAAGTCAGGAACAGGAAGTATGGCTCTGAAATGTGAGCATCGTGACCACAGACACACGGACACAGAACATGTGGACATAAAGGGAATGCTGCCCAGTGGTCAGGAGAGCACAACAAGTAGGATTTGACCCCAAACTTCTGTCCACAAGGGCTTGGGATTCCCTCGGTGGGAATCGCAGTGCCCAAAATGAAAACCCCAGGGCTGTGGGCTGAGCCTATGCTCCAGCCTTAGCCGTCTAACTCTGAGCAAGACCTCTTCTAAAGCCAAGCCCCTAATCTTTCTGGGGCTCAGATCAGGGGCCCCAAAACTCTGTGATTTTACTCGGTTTCAGGTTCAGTGGACACAGAATGGTATTTCTGTAAAGATGTTCCCACCTTTAGAGAACCAGGTGAACCTTGGGACTGTACCTCTGAGCCCTCAGTTTGTTCCCAGTACTGTCTTCCCATTAGGGAGCTTCATTTCCAAGACTGTAGGAGAGAGTTTGGCATATGGTAGGTGCTTAATAAAGAGCCGGTATGTATCTGAATACACAGGTAATGGATTCTTGGGACTGCTGATGTCGTGGTGGGCACAGGTGCTCGCTGCTGCCTCCGGCAGATGGGATATGTTGTTAGCAGCAATCAGCACTCTGGGTTCGGCTGAGGGGCATCCCAGAAGAACAGAAATCTGATAGGAGCCTACCTGAAAGCTCTCCACCAGCACGGCTATTGTCTCACGTGCAAAAAAAAAAAATCCAAATCTTCAGGGACACAGTCTGGAGAAGTGTCCCAAAGAGAACTGTAGAACTACAGGTTGGGATATTGTTAAGAGGCTCTCAGAAAAAAAGAAACACAATCGGGTCTCCTTTTGTACTGTAAAGATACAATCTGGAAACACTGCGAGGGATTAATGGTTCCTCTGAACCCAGAGCAGACACCTCAGCGTGGACTTCTTTTGTTTCTCTCGATCAAGACAACAGCTACTGTCCTCAAGTCAAGAGAGACTGCATTTCTTGAGCCATCTTTCTCTACAGGTAGACCAGTTGTTCTTCCAGGAAGAGGCACACTCTGCCCCTTTGTGTCCCAACCAGCCTTCCAAGTCCCCTGTGCTCTGGTGGCTGAAGAATCAGAATTACAGGCAGAGCAGGGAGCTGGCCTCAGCCAAGGGACTAAGGTGGCCTGAGGGAAGCCCTCAGCCCCTCCTGTCACAAGGGATTCTCTAGGGTGCAAGGTGTCCCTGGTCCTCTCCAGCCTCAGAGCATCATCCATTCCATAGTAGCTCCGCAAAAACACTGGAGCCAGCCCTGCGAAACCTCTCCCAGAGTCTGAGCAACAAGCATTAGCGAAGGAAACCGAAGCCACGACTCGTCCATGGCCAATCAAGGTGGAGGTTGGAGAGAGGCTGAACACTTCCTGAAATTCCTACCTGGAGAGATCATGCCCTAATCTGAAGGTAAAATGGCAAGATTTGGTCATTCTTGCAAAGTGTTTGTTGAAGGATTCAAAGACCTCCTTGGAAGCCTGTCCTGTTGTTTCTAAGTCTCGATTCCATCTACGATGATGAATGTGAGCTCTAATCTGATAATCGGCTGTCTCATTGTTTCATTCTGGTGCCTTGGCCTGCAGGAAGAGGGGTGGGGGAGGTGACCCACAAAGAGTCAAGTGGCAGCTGGTGTGGAAGGCCACACAGGCCCCTCTGCTTGACAGGCATGTGAGTGTCTGGAAACCTTCCTTATTCCCAAGTAATTTCAAAATGCACATTTTCTTCCTCAGGCTGATGCTTCGAGTGGAGAAGAGAGAATTAAATGAAAAACTCAAAGAGCCCGATTCTGCTCTTGTCAGGTTTTTTTTCTAGCTTTCAGCATTTCTTTTTAGAGCAGAAGCACATCCAGGAAACCGCCCCACAGAGCCCCCAGGCACCACTCTCCCTGCAGAGGCCAGCAAAGGGCTGCGGGACTGAGGCTGGTGGGAGGGGGGGTGTCATTCCCTTCTGGGGGACCAGGTCAGTTGCGCCCCCCCATTTTCTTGCAGGAGCCCCATGCCTTCCCACCTCTTGGGAACCAATGAAACAGTTTGGAATATGCTCTGCTATCCAGATGATTTCTCCACGTGGACTGTGGCATTTGTCAGACTTGCCTACTTTCCAGCAAGATCACAAATTTTCCCCAACTCTGTTGAACAACACGGAGAACTACATATTTGTTGGCTGAGAGAGTGAGGAGGGAGGGAGATGAGACTCCAAGAATACTCATTGCATACTCAAAGTCCAACAGCAGTTCTGTCTCAGAGTAAGGCAGAATTCACCACTGCCATTCGGAGTCTCAGAGAAGACTGTTCTGGCTTTTGAGTCCTTCTCCAGTCCCCAGCTGATCTAACCACTGCCCCTTCCCCTCAATTCCTCTCTTCTCTGAACTACAACTCCCCAGCATGGGTGGAAACACCTGAGTTCTAATACCAGCCTCTGTGTCCCTTCAGTATCCTCTCATTTCCTAAACCTTTGTTTTTTCCATCTGAAATGAGGGGATTAGACTAGATCAGGAAAGGGGAAATGTTTTCTCTCACATGTCAAGTCTAACCAGGAGGGGGCTTCCTGGAAAGCCAGGGTGGATACCTGTTCTGAGGGCCATATGTGAGGGCAGCATGCAAAAGCCATGTGATTGATTAGTAATGTCTGCCACTGGCATGGGAATGGGTGTTTTGTAATATACACCAAGTATTCGCCATCCTTGAATTCTTTGCTCTTAACTCTCCTTCCAGGTCTGACATTTGATGACTCTTCACGTTCGTCACTTATACCCCAACACCTTTATCACTCGGCACTTAATCATATATCATTTTGTGTTTTTTTCTCACTGCTAGATGTGTATGCATCTTGCTTCCCTAATGGGACTATGGATTCTTGGAGGGGGCACGACTAGAATGCCTGATAGAGAACTGAATTCACAAAGTTGATGCTCAAAAAGGTATGAACACATTGATGGACTGATTTACTGAAGAAGACACTGATCCTTTCAGATGCTAGTAAGTAAGAGAGAGCTAGCAACTCTCTGACTACTGGGACTCAGTCCCCACCAGGGGGCCAAAACACTGACATGGCTTCTACCTAGGGAGAGGAAGAAAGTGGAAGAGAGAGAGGAAGAGGTGGAGAAGAAGAAAGGATGAGAAGGAGGTGGAGGTACAGGAAGGGGAGGGAGGGAAGGAGGAAGGAGGAAGAGAACATACTGCCCCTTGCTCCACTATTCGGTAGGTTAAATGGCGACCACAAAACAATGAGCGGATGGAAGGGGCTGATTGAATTGATGCTGCAAGAGGCCCTTCCCTTACTATTTCTCACCGCGGTTTAAAAACGATCACACGGAGATGCCTCGTTGTGACATCCTTCACAACTGCAGCAAAGCAATCCTCTTTCCCTTACATCAACCGTATCAGATCTGGGGAGTCCCCCCTGTTTTCCCTGTACTCCCACTCTGTGTCTGTGTGGAGGCCAGATACTAGAACAAACATGGCCATGGCATAAAATCCATCTAGCCAGGTCCCTCAAAGCTCATTTTACCGTTTAATATTTGCTTGGTACTAATTGAATTCTCTATTTCAAAGGACTGTTCTAATCAGAAAAGTGCAATGATACATACAGAATGCATTTCTATTTATTTACATGATATTAATGCACTGCTGATATTAGCCACAAACACAGATATTTTAAATAGAACATACTCCCGAATCCTACTGAAACATTGTAGCTCAGGCCTTCAGGCAGCAATAAGAAGGAAAGAAAGAATTGTTAATGCATAATAGCCATTCCAGCCCAGACCAAACAACACCAGAGAAAATTCTCAGCGTTCCTTTACTTATTCAACTTTCATCTTTTTTACATAAATTGTAGAAATAAAACATCATGAAATTTCACTAAGTCATTTGGAGGAAAAAAAAAACCAAACATCAAAACTCCAGTCTATGCACAGAAATAGCAATCTGACTGCACAAATAAACGATAAATTTGCCTGACTGTGCTGAAATTCAATGCAATAAAAGAAGGACCTTCAAAGAAGATAAGGTTTTAACTGCATCAAAAGGTTCCTGTGCAAAATGGATCATTCAAATCCCCAGAATGGCACTTGCCACTAATTAGTTCTGTTAGGTCTTTTGACATCAAGTTCAAGGAATCTCTGCTAAAACTTCCAATTTATGAAACGCACTTGTAGGCAACCGAAGGCAGCTATTCAGGTTACATTAAAAAAACGTGTTGTTGTCCATGTCCCTGTGGCAATTTTCATTTCTCGAACATTACAGGGCAGCAACTGATACGATTTAAGGGTAGAGGAGGCTGGTTTGTGCAGAAAGGTTAAGTAACTAAAAATATATGTAAATGTTGCTCTCAGGGAAAGAGGAGGGGGTGGAAAATGATAAATACAAGTTTCTGGAGAGTGTAAAGAAAAGGGGAATAGCTGATGGGGGTCTCACGAAGGGGTATTTTACCAAGACAAACAGGATAAATATAGCTAATTAAAGTGAAACATCAGAGTTTTCCTCACACCGTGTACAATTGTGGGGGAAAAAAAATCTCCAAAGGAAATTTTGATTTTCAAGCTGCGTAAAATGGGACAGGGAGGGGCGCCTGGGTGGCTCAGTCACTGAGTGTCTGCCTTCGGCTCGGGTCATGATCCTGGGGTCCTGGGATCGAGCCCCGCGACAGGCTCCCTGCTCCGTGGGGGGCCTGCTTCTCCCTCTCCCACTACCCCCCTGCTTGTGTTCCCTCTCTCGCTGTCTCTCTGTCAAATAAATAAATAAAGTCTTTAAAAAAAAAAAGGGACAGGGGAAGAGAGGAGAAGAAGTTTCTTATACTCATTTTTATATTCATTTTTGGGAATGATAATTAAATAGAACAAATTTTTGTCAGTATATTTATTTTTAGGTATCATTCATTTTTTTAGGAATGATAATTAAATAGAACAAATTTTTGTCAGTTCTTATATTCATTTTTAGGATTGAGGAGTAAATTGAACAAATCTTTGTACATTCTTATATTCATTTTTAAGGATGATAATTAAAATGAACAAAACTTTATAAGATACCTACGGGTAAAAAACAATGAAACAATTTACTATATTCACAAAGGTGAAAAATAAAGCATACACAGACACATATAATGACAATTTCTGAGCTTAGGCTAGCAAAACTTCATAGTTCCACAGATGGGAACGTGCATATTTATAGGAGTTTTTCTGATTTCCTCAAAATTGATGGCTTCTGTTTAAAGCACTTGTAGATTTTTCAACAATGATCTTCAAATAAAAGGATATTTAGAAAGTAGAATCTTCTTTGCAAAATAGGTGAGGGCTGCCTTTTTAAAAAAAGGAAAATAACTTTCATGAAGTTCTGCTTACCTGGAAGACTCCACAAACCAGAAACTTCCAGAGTTCTTAATTTTTTCTCCAGTTCAGCCACCCGATTCCCTAGGATTCTGGAAAATGGGAGAAAATGACAACAGACAAATTAATGAGCATCTCATCAGCTCTTGGAGCTGTGAGCAAGCTACTTGGGGGATACCCCCTAGAGTGCCCTGATAGAAAATGTTTTGAGATTTAAAGTATATGCAGAAAACATACTGTGTGTGCATGTGCAAAGAATATATATGTATAATATATAATATATTATACACACACACTCTATTGAACATACATATGAAAATATACAGTGAATGATTAAAAAAATATTAAATGTTGCCATTTAAGTGAGTCCTCTCCCAAAAAGGAAGGGAAGCTAAACAATTATTCCATCATTGCCCAAACATCTTACACAATTTCTATTTGGGAATTGCTCATTGCTGAAGATAATCATTCATTTTGAACGCCCTTAGTAGTATTGCACCTGATTCTCTGAGGATGTATCTGAGTTCTGGAAACCACCAAGTCTAACCAGTTAAGATGGGTGAACATGCGTGGTAAAGTTGCTTTGAGTCAATAAAATAGTAAGATCTGCCTTCTTCGACCTAACCTATGTCTTACTGATATCCATATCCCTGACACCTAGCAGAATGCCCGGTTGATGGTAGGTGTTCAATAAACATATTTGATTAAAGAAAATGCTTTCCTTCTTTCAAGGCTTGCAATTATCTATGGCCAGAATGAAGAAATAGGCCTTTCAAAAGAACTTCCAGCAATTGCAGAGTCTCTAGAAGAATTATATTGCTTTCCAAGGTGACCATTCTGACCCACTGGGACATAATTTCTGGAACGTGTATCTGAAAAGATTATAATGTTTACTTGGGAGCCAAACTTTGTCTGTATGCATGGGAAGACATAAACGTGGGCATGTATTTCCCCTCTTCCACTCTACACAAAATTAAACATAGTTGGGAAGTGATTTCATAGTCATCTCAAACTTGAATCACTCTCCATTGGCCTGGAAATGGAAAAACCAGTCTTTATATTATTTGGGGGATTTTCTTGGTGCTGTCATGCTAAAATGACGCGGAAATCACCTTAATAGCAAAGTTTTGATTCCTTTCAGCAGGAGAAATCAGAATGCTAGAATTGTTCTCCTACCTCTCTTTATATTCCAGAGATAGCTGCGCACACCCACATACATAGAGGCATGAATATGTATAAATCTGCACATATATATGGCTTTGGATTCATCCTTATTTTACCTGAATTGACTTGCAGCTTCTTAATTAATATTCCCTTTGAGCTTCCAGAAAACTCTGACATTACTACATGTGGTTTTCCTCACCTAGGTACTTGGAGCTTTTCTTCTTTTCCTTAAGTCTTAAATTCTGCATAGTCTTTATCAATTACTTTCAGTTGCCACCCTATTTGTTGGGTCTATTCTACTTTCATGTCCCTGACCCTTCAATAAACACCATTCTTCGTAATCTTGCTTTCAATATTTTGCTCAGACCTTCTGATCCGAGCTCCCTTTTCACCAGCTGATGGGTTTGAGATGCAATCACAGCAGAGTTCAAGTTGATGCCTGTTTCTTAACGAGATCAGATCATCTGTGTGTGGCTGCCTCTTGGAAACAAAAGATAAGGCTTAACTCTTCTGTGCATGCCGAAGGATGCCATCAGAGCAACGTTCAAAGGCGTGCTGCAGAGACATTTGGTTGCTTTTTTTTTTTTTTTTTTTTTTTACCCCCTGATGTTCCCGGATAACAGAGCCTTGTCTCCCAGAAATGGACTGCGGTGAATTTGCTAGTGTCCCATACTTTGAGGGACCCTGCCTGTTTGTCATCAGTGACTGCTCTCTTTGGCCTGATTCAGGCATCTGATACAGAGCTGGAGGTAATAAAATGGGTCCAATGGGAATTGTGCTAGGAGTGATAGTAGCCATAACATTATCCAGAACAGCAGTAACGACACAACCGCTAACATGAACAGCGAAACTAATCTTTCCTGAGTCCTGGCTATGAGTCAGAGCTCATGCTGAGTACCTAGTGAGTTTACATGATCTCATTTGACCTGACAAAAACCCTGCAGTGTATGTTGTATTATTATCCTTTTACAAATGTGGACCCCAAGGAACAGAGAGGTTAAGCAACATGCCCAAGGGCACACAGTTTATCTCCAAGCTGTGTCTTTTGCTGACCCCCGGTGCTCTCATCCAGCCCACTCTACTCCTCCCATTGGGAAACACAGGCATGGAAATTAGTTAACTTGACCAGAACCACAAGCAGGACTCAGCTGGTGATGACTCTGGATCTGAACCTACAGCTCCGTTTGCTGCCAAAGTGCACGCTCTTAACCAACACCTCACAATGGCACTTTAAAACAAGCATTCATGTGTCTGGAGCAAGAACTCTTTAAAAACTGTTCATAATTGAAGTGTGGATGCAACTGGGTGACCTATATGATAGGACCCAAGATTCTTTAAATGACAAAAAGACTCTTCCTGATGGGCTTCATGCTGAACAAATATGGCAGGTGGTCCACAGAACGTGGGGTGGTGCAGCCCAGGGAGAGAGGACAGTAGGCATTGAGGAAGGCAGTAAACATAGGAACAGGGTCCGCTGAATTCAGTATGACCAATTCAGCACACAATTATTGAGGCTATAGGGGATAATGAAGAGAAGCAGCCTGTGTCCCTGTAATTTTTTTTTTAAAGATTATTTATTTATTTATTTATTTATTTGACAGAGAGAGAGAGAGCACAAGTAGGCAGAGAGGCAGGCAGAGGGAGAGGGAGAAGCAGACTCTCCACTGAGCAGGGAGCCCGATGTGGGGCTCGATCCCAGGACCCTGGGATCATGACCTGAGCTGAAGGCAGCCGCTTAACCGACTGAGCCACCCAGGCGCCCCTGTGTCCCTGCATTTGAGGGACTTTTAAAAGTCTGGTAGGAGGACAGATGTGGATATACAGACACACACAGACACATATGTACAGAGCCTGTCAAAGGTTTGAATAATATCTCTCAATCGCCTGTTCTCTAGCAGGTATTACTCTAAGCACTGAACAGATAGTATCTCCTTTACCCCTTGCAACAACTGATGAGGGAGTCTTTAATATGCTTAGTTTGTGGATGAGGGAACAGAGATTCAGAGAGGTCAACTAACTGGCCCAGGGCAACACAGCTGCTAAGTGGAGGGTCCGGAACCAAAACATAGGCCTGAAAGTATACAAGTACTTCAGCAGAACCGTAGAGTGGAAGTGAGACAAATGAGAGATGAATCCAGAGTGGTTTTTAAGGACCCAGATCATGAATGCTCTTATTGCCCTATTGAGACTGGTGAGACTTTTACACATTGGCAACAGTGAGATATTGGAAGGTTTTAATCAGCGAAGCAGCATGATGACGTTTAAGAAAAGTATTCTTGATGTGGAGTGGAGAATGGATGGGAATGAGTATGAGTAGAAGCAGAAAGACCAGTCGGAAGGGTAATGTCCAAGTCAGGGATGGTGGTGGCCCCAACAAGCCAAGGGCGGGGCGTATGTGGGAAGTCAACTGAATGGAGTAATAATACCGAGGTGAGGAATTTGAGGTGCCCACGGGATATCCATGGAGACAGCTGGCCGCGTGGGAGAAGGAAAGTCTGGGAATGCAGAGATAGGCATGGAGGCTGGGGAGTAAGTCTGCTCACCAGCAGAGTGTGAGAAGTCAGAAGAACAGGACCCTTGAGTACCACTTGTCTAAGGCAAGAAAGGACTAGAGAGGCACAGCTGGACAGGGAAGAGGAGAGCCAGGCCACATGGGGCTGGGAAGCCAAGGGGAGAGAAGACCCAGGAGGGATGGCTGGGGTTAATATTGTCTTATTCTAGAAGGTGGTCACATTGGATGAAAAAGTCCACCTACAAGACATGCCTGACCCTTGAGAGAGATGTTTCAGGAACAGTGGAAGGGGTGAAACCAAAGAATCCAAGCGACAGGGTTGGGAGAAGCAGACTCGGGGCAACCATAAGCAGGGAATACGGATGACTCTTCAAGAAGTTTAGCAGAGAATCGAAGGAGACAGCTAGGGCAGTAGCTTGAGGCATAAACAGGTTTGAGAGAGGATTTTTTTTTTTTTTTTGGTAGGAGGGGGCAGATTTTACAATCAGGTTTTTATTTAGCTACAGTTTGCTTTAAGAGGGATTTTAGCATATGTCTACCTAGCAGTCTAGGAAAATCCTCAAGATGTCAGGCCTCCAGATAGATTTTCAGTAGTAGTTTCTGATAGTAACAACGTCAGAGGGGATCTGAAAAGACAGACCTGACTCGGGAGGTGGCCATCACTGTGTGTCCCCTCCTATTCCCCAGACAACACGGGAGCAGAAATCCCTGAGTGAGGGTCCTTGGGGAGAGCCTGGTCCTCAAGACGTGACTGGCTCTACCCTGTCCCCACCTCTACCCCGGGTGGCCTTCTTTTGACTCTTTCCTCTGGTCCATGACAGTTCATGCTGCTCCCAGTATCTTGAACTTCCAAGCTATTTACCACTGGCCGGGGGCGGGGGTGGGGGTGGAGAGCAGTAAACAGTGTTAGCATGGCAGGAAGGGCAATGAAAGGCCAGTATATCTTCATGTACCCCCACCAGCACCCTACCACCAGCAAAGTGTTGACTGGAAAACTAAATGGGGCGTTCAGTAAAACAAGATTTCAACACCTGTCTCTTCTTTTTTTTTTTTTTTAAAGATTTTATTTATTTATTTATTAGAGAGCGAGCGAGAGAGAAACAACATGAGAGGGGAGAGGGTCAGAGGGAGAAGCAGGCTCCCTGCCGAGCTGGGAGCCCGATGTGGGACTCGATCCCAGGACTCTGGGATCATGACCTGAGCCGAAGGTAGTTGCTCAACCAACTGAGCCACCCAGGCGCCCCAACACCTGTCTCTTCTATTACTGCTTTGCTACCTGTTGGTAAGTCACAGGAAGCTCATCTCTTCTTTAGCAATAGTCAGACAACTGCCAACTCTTTGGCAATGAGTACCTCAAGCAAAATGCCCAGTACTTGAAAATTCTCTCAAAAAATAAAGTCCTATGTGGATTCATCAATTCTTCAAGATGGCTCCCATTGGGCCCTCTCAAGGGGAGGGGGGTGTCAGGCGGCGGAAAGCCTGTAGGGGGAGCACAGGCTTACAGAACAGAATACCTTTATTCTCATTTAATAATGCTCCACCAACACAAAACTACTGTATTATTTTAGCTACAAAAGGCTAAGTTGAGGGGGATCACAGTAAGCAGACCGAATTCAGATTCTATTCCTAGCCCCCACTCCATTTGTTGTATAGTTTTTTTTTACATGCCCCCAAATAAAACATTTATTGAAAGTATGAAACCGAAGACCTTCTAAGTTTTAAAAATGGCACATTAGGTACATTATGTACTGATATGAAGCAATCTTTAAGATCTATTGTTATGGTGGTAAAAAGCAAGGTGCAGAACAGTGAAAAAAAAAACCCTCTTTTTGGTGAATACTTGCTATCATTTGTAAGAAGAAAGAAAGAAAGAAAGAAAGAAAGAAAGAAAGAAAGAAAGAAAGAAAGAAAGAAAGAAAGAGAGAAAAGACTGTATTTATACAAGTATACATGAGTATTTATATGTGTCTGTGGAAATGTGTTATATGTTTCTTGGAAAGGGATACATAAGAAATAAGAAATAGTGGTTACTTCCAGGAAGGAGAATTGGGTGTCTGAGAGATAGTAGTAGTTTAGAGACACATTGATGTTTAACCTTTAAAAATCTGAACCATGAGATGGTACAAAATTATTAAATAATAGTTACAAAGGACAAGGTGCTTTAAAACAAAATTAAGCTTGAAAAAACAAAAACAAACAAAGAAACCAAAATTAAACCTAGCAAAAGATGTCTGTTTCTCAACGAGGGTGAGAGCCCATCATGGAGCCTGGGGGCGTGCTGGTTGCAGTAGGGTTACGGTAGGAATGTGCTAGAAAATCAATGTGTCCTGAGAGGCGGGAGCCTCAGCCTGACGGCCTGGGGTTGCTGAGTTCGGCAGGCAGCAGGTCTCTGCTCTAATGGTCCCGCTTTTTCCTGAAATCCATATTACACTATATGTTAACTAACTAGAATTTAAATAAAAACTTGCAACAAACAAAAAAAGAAAAGTCAGCTGTTTAGTGGAGGCTTGTGATGTGATCAGAACTGTAGCTGGCGGGGGTTGAGAGAGTGTGGGGGTTGGCGGTGGAGGAGGGCCTGGGGGTCTGCAGTTGGAGGATCGATGGGAGGGCCTTCCCAAGGAAGAGGCGATAGTCTGGTGGGAACAAAGCAGAGAGGGCAGCTAGGAGATGTACACTGAAGTCCCATGACGAGGACCTGACCTATATATTGAATCCATGAAAACTGTAAAGAGTATTAAGAGAACAAGAAAAAAGAGTAGAAGATGATTCCATCATCCATTCATTAAATAACCATAAGCACCTACTGTGGGCCCAGCACTGTCCTCTGTACTGGGAGAGAACAGCAATTCTAATGGACAAACGTTCTGGCCTTGGGACAGCTTCAACCTGCAAGATGTGGAGGTTTGTTGAACCTGAGTATCAGGATGGTGGGCAGAGCCCATTAAATATTCTTCAAGTCATGCCTGAATTATGGCTGCATAATATTCCATCTTATGGATTTACTCTAATCTTAATCAGCCTCCAGCTTAAAAACATTGGGGAAGAGTGCCTGGGTGGCTTAGTTGGTTAAGCGTCTGACTCTTGATTTTGGCTCAGGTCATGATCTCAGGTTGTGAGATCAAGGCCCGCATCAGGCTCTATGCTCAGCACAGAGTCTGCTTGAGACGCTCTCCCTCTCCCTCTGCACTCGTACATTCTCCCCCTCTCAAAATAAAATAAAACAAAATAAAATATAAATAAAAACATTTGGGTTGTTTCTGTTTTCTCCCCCTCCTACAAATGAATCCATGGTGAACACCTTATATATGAATCTGAGGACATCATACCGATTTTTTTCTTTAGGATAAATTTCTAGATGCAGACCATGTGGGTCAAAGGGCAGCAGCATTTTCCAGGGTCTTAAAAGGTACTAAGGAGTGGGTGGCCCAGAGCCTAGATTCCTTGAATGTGAAGAGCTGAAGGGATATGGGGGAAACCATCAGCCTCGCAGTTGGAAATGTGGGTCCTGCTCTGGATGACGAGGTGGGGACAAGAGTTCTGAGAAGAGCCTGCAGAGAGTGAGAGGCAACGATGGGGGGTGGGGATGGAGCCCCCCAGGTAGGGTAAGGAGAGAAGGCCTGGTGGAGACCTGGGAGGGAAGCGAGGGCCATGTAGGGAATCGAGGGGATGAGGAGAAAGTCAGAGGAATCCAAGGAGATGAGTGCAAGATGGGAATTGGGATGCAGAGAAATTAGAAAAGAAACAGACTAAGAAAGTGAGGTTTGGGGGTATTGGAGACCCTCAAAGGAAGACTGCTGTGAAAAATCTGGGAAGAGGTCTTGGGAGGTGTTGAAGCCAAGGTGGTCTTTCTTTCCTGCATATGGCATCCCCTGGGGCTGGTTCAGATCCAGAACCCTGATGTTCCCTCCAGAAAATCCCCCTGAATCTGCATTTCAAAACCAGTGTCTCTGAGTGATTCTGACATGGGTGCCCCCCAGAACACACATTGAGGGGGTTGCTGTTGAAGAAGTAAAGGCAGCCTTCTTGTTCACAAAGACGCTGGATGAATGGAATTCGGGGGAGCTGCAGAGAAAAGGCTTTGGGGGTTCAGGGAGCTCCGTGTGGTTTCTGGATGAAGAGGCAGGAGCCGGGGCGGGGTGAGGGGGGTTAGGAGTGGAACAGGTGGGAAGAGTTGCTCACAGGGGAGCCAGGCCCAGAGGAGGGAAGATGGTGTGGACCAACAGGGATGGTGGGCCAGTGTGTTTCCCAGAGCCAGGAGGGGGAGGATGGAAGGCACTGGTTCCAGGGGAGGGTAAGTCATAGGGTTCCTGGTGAGGAGCATCTATTTTCTCAGTAAAAGAGCAGCTGAGGTTACCTGCTGAGAACAGACTAGGGTTTTTAGAAGACCTGAGAAGGTTTGAAAGAGCCCCAGCGGTGCTTTACTGGGAGTCAGTGAGGACAAAGAAGGCTCATGCGGAACACTACCGGCTGGATAAAATAGACCTCGTACCTATTCTGGGGAGATTTCCATTTCCTCTCCCTCCCCTGAGAAGTATCTGCATTTTAGCACCTGACTGTTTCATTCCTTGGTTAAGATTTATTTTAAAAGAATTTTAAAAACTTCTTCTGTCAATAAATGACTCTTGTCATCCTTCTGAGTTTACCCAGACTCCCTCCATCGCTCCCTTCCTTCTTTTATATATATCTTAATCTCCTGCGCGATCTTCCCTTCACTCCCGGCTTCTCTTTTTTCTATTTTGTTTTTACAATACTCTCATTCATTTTCCAGTTGCCTTGCTCCCTGTGCCCCTCCTCCTCACCAGGACCCCAATTCCCTCATCCCTCCCCTCCTTGCTGGAAGCCCAGCTTTTCGGAGCCTGCTCACTTCTTCCACGCCTTCATTTTGGTGCTGCGTGTAGGTTTTATAAGCAGGACCAGCTACATAATTTGGGGGGCCCACCGCAAAATGCAAATGCAGGCCTCCTTGTTCAAAAATGATCAAGAATCTGAAGATGGCAACTGTGGAGTTCCGGACTAAGGGCAGGGCCCTTCCAAGCATGGTCGCTTGCCCTCAAAGCCAGCCTTGTTTGCGACGTCTGTTGCCTTAACTTATTGTTTATTCACCATTCTCTGAACACCTCCAGTTTTGCGTGTGTCTCTGATGGCTACTTTAACTTGATTTTGCCCCACCTAGTCGATATGTTTATAAAAACCAAGGAAGACCTCTATTTTAATTGTTCCGTCCCACCACCTTCTTTGCTTCTCTGGAAGAGTGACATGACACTCCCTTGTAGGCCCAGCTGCCTTGCCTGGCGTTCCTCCTGGTCAGAACCCCTCATTGTCATGCTGTAGGTTAAGATGGCACTGAGGAGGTGCCGCCCCTGAAGGAGACCCACAGGAGAGATAGGGTAAGTTCCCCAGGCAATGGTAATGTCAAAATGGTCCATGTCATCTGCATTCCTGAGTGAGGGGCTCAGAGTAAGTGTTCAATACATAATGGCTGGTAGTATTCTCCCCCTCCCCCACTCCGGCAAATGGCTAAGATGCTGTTGTAATGCAGACTCACCTCCCCTCCCCCAAAGGCCTGCAGTCCCACCTGGCTGCCACCAGCCAGCAGCCCACATTTCTCCCGCCCACCACCCACCCAAGGGTCCAGCTACCTACTTGTTGGTCTGCCTTTGGTGCTGGATGACCATGTTTTTCTCGTGGATTGTCTCCAACAGGGCCGTTGCCAGAGATTTCAGATCAGAAATGGACTGTGGAGTAGCTGGGAGACTGCACCCATGATCTTCAGATAACAGATCCTGAACTAGGTGGGATATAAAGTTTACAGCTCAGTCTTAAGTCCTTCTGAAACACTGCAATGCAAACCAATGTCCGTTCTTCCTGGATAATGAAGCTGGGATAGGCTCCCCACTTCTAAATGCTATGATGTTGTATTGAAGAATCTACTTCAGGTGTCAAAATAAAACAAAATAAAATTCAGTGTGAGGGTTGAGCAGAAACAAGGAAGTTCTCATGGACATTTATCACCAGTTTTTTAAAGAGATAATAATCTTTTTCATTTGTCCATTATTTTACCCTTTCGAAACACTTTCATACAAACTCATTTGAGGTCCAAAATTGAAAAAAAAAAAAAAAAACCCACCTGGGGAGTATTATTTATTCCCATTTCATGGACAGGAAAGCAAGGCACTGATTAAAAACATCAGCTGAAGGTCACACAGCCTTGCAAATGGCAATGACTCTGGTCCCGAGCTCCTCGCTCTGTGGCAGAGTTTCCTACGGTGTAGTATGTTCAGTGGGTGGCAAGATCACAGGGACATTATTTAAAATACAAAATATATTTTGTGTCTGCATGTTTTTAGAAACTACAAGTTACCACAAAAAAGACACCACTTGTACTCCTATCAGACAGAAAAAATTAAATCTCTCACTAGATCTTTGAACATCATTTTCTATATGCCTATACATAGATATACAGATTCATACATTTTTCTTCTGAAATGGGAAAAAGCTCAGCTTTCTTCACTTAACCCTATTCCTCATCATAAATATCTCCTAAAACACAAAATGTAAAGGCAGCTTGGGAGCCCATATAGAGATATAGAATAATTTATTTAATTTCTGCTGGAAATTTATGTTACTTCCTATGTTGTTTTTTTTCTTATAACTAATGTAGGAAGAACTTTCCTCAAGCAGTATGTTTTCATACATCGGTAATTATTTCTTGCTGCTCAAAGGGGATGAGTTCAAGGTTTTTCAAAATAAGTTGCCAGAGGGTCATCCAGAAAGGCTGGGTTATCCAGAAGGCCATTGCGGGCTTACGGCATGGCCTTTGAACGTGGCTGGCATTCCCCACATCGGTGATAAGACTGGGTCTCACCATTCAAAGATGTTTAGCTGTCAAGGGTATCCAGAGCTAAACTCACATGGGCTACTTCACATTTCTGTGGAGTATTGTAGTTTTCTATTTAAAAACAATTCTAGGGTATCCTTTTTTTAGTTGAGTGGAAAAACAGAAGTTGCTTGGAAAAGTGCCTTGGTTATTAGGCCGGCTGGAGATTCAGCACATTTTTTTTTCCCCTAGCCACTCCAGCTTTGATTAAGACTCCTGCATGCTCGTTGCTGGTCTGCGTGGCCGACAACCCGAAAGTGGGCCAGGCGAGCATGTTCAAACCTGAGGCTTACGCTGAGAACTGAATTCCCAAATATTAAGTGTCAGAAGCAAGCTCTCTGCTATTTATTCCCCTGGACTGTTCCTGGAAGATCATTATTTTTCATCAGAATCGACAAGAAGGAGGAACAGAATTGCAATCAATAAAAGCTTCTTTGAAAAAGGCACATGTTCCATGATAAAATGATTTCAGCAGCTGTGAGACTTTTCTATTCTGGTCACAGAGGCCAGAAAAAGGAGAAGCTTGGCGAGGTTGGAACATGGACCCAGGGATGCTAAACTGGTGATCAGAGGAGCGAAAGCACTCTTGAAGGAAGAGCACAGGATCGGGGACCAGATGCGAAGGGGGTCCTGTCATTAGAAAGATAGCTAATGTGGCTGTTCTCAAAGCAGGATCCCAGACAGGCATCAGCAACACCTGGGAACTTTTTAGAAATGCGTATTCTCTGGGGCCCCCCGGACCTACTAAATCAAAAACTGTGTGTGTAGGGGGCAGTAATCTATGTTTTCAAACAAGCTCCCCAGCCAATGCTGATACAGATGAAGGTTTGAGAAGGGCTGTTCTAAGAACCACCTTGGTTTCCCACCCACAAACGGAGATGCAGAGCCCGAGCTCCGGCGTTCTGTGGTCCTAAGCGGTCCCTCCAGAGAACAAACCCTACCTTGCTTTGCAGACAGGACTCCAGTCAGCGCGCTGCTGCTAGATTTACTCTGGCCTTTCGAGTTTTTCCGTCTCTCGAGAGCATTCTAATGCAGCATTGGGAGAAAATACAAATCTCTATCAAAAAAGCCAAAAAAAAAAAAAAAGAAAAATATCTACTTAGAGTAGACGCATCCTCCCATCGGGCACACAAGAATCCTTGGCAAATTCCAAATGCTGACCCAACTTTTAAAATTCCAAGTCCCTACAAAGAGTTATGAAATTTATGGACCTGGTAGAGAGTTTTTTTTTTTTTAAGTTGGTGCCCAGCAGAATGACAGCAATTACCTTCTCCTATATATAAAAGGCACTCAATGCGTATTCATTAAATTAAATCAAATGTGAAAGCAAGAGCTCCATCAAATGTGTGAAGTCACTAGTTATGGAAACCCCTTCTGAATAGACATGAGATGGAGAACAGGTTTCCTTTCATTTGCCGATGCCAAGAGATCGCTATTGGTCTTCAGAAGTCTTCCGTGGCTGGACTGGAAAAAGTCAGGACCGATGAATGATGTCTGCCATGGACACAAGATTAGGAGGTGCACAGGTGCCCACCAAAGTGCCATTCTATCACAGACCCTCACATTACAATTGATATGACTGTGTAGCAGTGCTTGGCACATTGAAGAACGAAGTAAAGGCTGTTAAATGAATGCATACACACATTTTTTAAATGTATGTATTAATTATACAACTTTAAAAGCTGCATTCTTCTGTGGCTCCATGTGTATATATAGACTGGCATAAAGTGTGGCCCCCGCAGCATGGAAAAGGAAGAATAGCATAGAGACTTCGGAGAAGAAAAGCTAACACCAGAAGCCAAGAAAACGAGAAGGTTCTCCCAAGCATCTAGACTGCTGTAAAACTTTACCCTCAGGAAGAGAAATCAATCTATTTTCAAAGCAGAGAAACCCAGGAGATGCTTCTAATTATAACGCTCACAACGAACATCTGCAGAAATAGATATTATCAAACTAATGGGGCTGGAATGAGTCTAAACAACAGTGGGAGAATTTAAACATTCTGTCCTTTCAGTGTGACGTGAACATTCTCGCTCACATTGTGATTTCCCAATCTTGGTTTCTTCTTGTTGCTCAGAAACCATTTTCTTATGGATAATTATGAGACAGATAGCGTCTGATGATGGAACATTTTCTAGAGAAGCCAATAGGATGCCTGATTCTATGTAGACCAAGGCTGTGAAGTGGCCACGTCCAGATCCTGGCAGGCCCCGTGTGCCCTGTCCTGGTGACAGCAACGAAGATGCTCTTGCAAAAGCTATTTTTGTTGTGTTTGTTTGTTGTTTTGGGCTTAATTCCTCCTGGTTACCTCAGTGAAAGCTCTTACTCTACCCAGGAGGGCAGGCGAGCACTCAAATGTCTTTGGCACATAAAAGGGAATTAAAATAGAATGGCATTTAGATGTACAATAGTGAATCATTACCAGCATCATCACGATTCTCTACCTTGTACTTGGCGATGTTTGATTTCAAGAGGTTGACCTCTTCGTGGAGTTGCTTTAATCGCTCTTGAAGGTACCTAGGAAAGAAAACATGCAACTAGGAAGTGTTTGGGAGCAAAATAAAAAACATACACGCAAGTAGGAGAAGAAAAAAAGAAAGCAACCCGACTCCAGAGTCACCGTGTACATACAATGCTTTCTCACCACCAAAAGAGGAGGAGAAAAGTGCATCTTGGTGACCTCTTTTTTTTTTTTTTTTAAAGATTTTATTTATTTGACAGAGAGACAGAGAGCACAAGTAGGCAGAGAGGCAGGCAGAGGGAGTGCGGAACCTGACCATGTGGGGCTCGATCCCAGGACCCTGGGATCATGACCTGAGCCGAAGGCAGACGCTTAATGACTGAGCCACCCAGGCGCCCCTGGTGACCTCTTCTTAAACGGAGCCGATCAAGGTCAAATATGCCCAAATCACAGAAAACCCACTTTAGAACAGCCTTCTGCAGAGATGCCCTAAGGGGTCTCCATACAGTTTTCACATAATTCTCATTAAGATGATTCCACTGGGAAGGCAGGCAGGAAGAGGCGACACCAGACGTAACATTAAATTAGACCACGCACACACACACATACACACACACACACACGGAAATTTGCCTCAGGGAAAAGAAACAGCTAAGGGAATTTCTCAATTTATTTTCTTATTCTTTCCCCTCTCCTTGACAGCAATACCGAGCAGCTTTCACTGGCTCCCTACCCTTCTTGCCCAGCCGGGGAATGGGGAGGGTAGGGGGAGAGAGAAAGGGGTCGGTGAGGCACACAAGCAGGTGTGTGGTGCTTCTTTTCCGACTTTTACAGCAAATACGTGACATTACTATCACCATTTTGGTGGTGGGACTTTCATTGCAAGGCAAATGTAACTCTGGGCTGCAGAGAACTTGCGGCCAGCGTCCTGCCTGAGTGCGCGTCCGGGCCTGGCCACTTGCCTGTTCTCCATACAGAGGGCATCCACGTCAATGATGCGGTTCTCGTGCCCACCCAGGATGTGGTTTAGCTCCTGGTTGAGCCTCTCCACTTTGTCCTGGTAGGAAGACCGTTCTTCTTTAACGTCCTGAAGCTCATCCACAGAGGCCTGCAGGTCATGCTCCAGGGACTCAATCTGAAACCCAGGAAGTGTCCTTACTTAAGCTGTTCTTCAGACGTCATTTTATGGCCAGAGATGGAGCCTTCTGCTTGGCTGACCGACTCTGACAGAGCTATTCATCCCACCCGCATATGCTATGAAACCACAAGCACCACAGGCTGGGTAAAAGCTTCAGGGAAGGGAGCAAGTCCCTGCCAGACGCCCGTGATGTCGAAGATCGGGCGGGGGCAGCAGCTTGGGGGCAGACCCTATCCCTCCCCAAGTGCAGTGTGCCCCAAAGCAAGAGGCTCGGAGAGGGCAAATCCAGACACTAGCAACAGCAGCCGGGGTCTTGCACGTGCATACCTTCTCCGGCTACTCCAGACCCAGAAATCTTGTTCCGCTCTTCAAAACCAATTAGCGGGAGAAGGAAAAAGAGGTTTAGGCTCTCTTCCCTGTTCCCTAACTAGGGCTCTGTACCCGTTGAGATTTTGCCTAAAAAGCATCACTCAGCACTTCAGGAAACTTGCAAATGAAGGCCAGTTTGTCATGTCTTGTTCCTTTCCTGTCTATCCTGAGTAGGGGGAGGGGGATGTTTCTTGTGTTCAGAGCAGTGGTACCCCAAACTAGGAGGATAGAACTGCTGGAAGCAAGAACCACAAGAGGCCGCTCGGGAAGTAGCAGAGCAGGGAGAACGTAAAAGCATTCAATTCACACCCTCCTTCCGCCTCCAACTGGCATCCCAGGCACCTTGCCCTCTCTGAGAAACAGGGGGCACAGTCCAATGGTACAAACATATCCCCCACTCTTTTTTTTTTAAAGATTTTTTTAAATTTATTTATTCATGAGAGACAGAGAGAGAGAGAGAGAGGCAGAGGGAGAAGCAGGCTCCCAAGGAGCAGGGAGCCCGATCTCGATCCCAGGACCCTGAGATCATGACCTGAACCGAAGGCAGACGCTTAACCATCTGAGCCACCCAGGCACCCCATATCCCCCACTCTTAATAGATGTTAGCAATAACCTGTTCCTTAGCTCTCTCCAGCTGCTGAACCAAGTCTTCACGCTCATGAGCTGCAAAGTGCCGCATGCCAATTTCTTCGTCTCCGAGCCTCTGCTTGGCAATTGTCATCCTCAAGAGCTGCATTTTCCATTAGTAGGAAAAGGGAGAGAGAGAGAGAGAGAGAATGTGTGTGTGTGTTAAAACGAACAGATCCAAACAAAAACCCAAGCATATTAGGCAGAAAGTTTTGGAAGGTAAGACTTTTCAAGAAATACTAAGGAAAGGCACGAGACAAAGAAATGTCTTGTCAATATCATGAATTAAAAAAATTAAATACAATATATATTGTAGTTTGTTTACACATGCATATACCCCTATATGCATGCATACACAGTATAAATCTACCGGGAACGCCGGCCTGGGCATTTGAAGGTGGAGGTCCTTTGTAGTGTTACCACAGTGAAGAAAAAATGCTGCGTCTCTTTTACACTCAGCAAAGATGACAAAATGGTAATGCAATTTTCAGAAGCATCTAGTAAGATGGGCATGCCCTCCCACATCTTAACAATGAGGCTACGTAATCAAGGGCCTTAAAAATGTCTCCACCAAAGATCCAGTAACCCTGCCTCTAACAACCTGGGCTAACAACAATCCCAGATATGCACTAGCTTTAGGAAAAAAGAAAAAGTAGATTGTACTTTCATTTCCAGAAAGAGCTAAACGAAAACGAACGTCTAACGAGAGCGGGCTGGCTAGCAAAGTGTAGTGCAATCAATCAATGGGCTGGTTTGCAGCTGTTGGAAATAAGGGTGATGAACTGTGTAATAACACAGAACATGCTTATGATAGCATGCTAAGCAGGGAACAAAAAGCAGAAGACTTTCATTTGCAGTAAAATTGAAATTATATGAAGAATCTGTGCACAAAGGAAAAAGGACCCAATACACCAAAATTTTTAAATGTGTGTGTTTCGGTGATGGTGAGACCATGTATGTTCTCTGTTCTGTGCTCTAACTTCTAACTTTTCAAATAAGCACACATGACTTTCATAACAGACTTTTATCTATAGGTTTTAAAATGCCTATGGATAAAATTCCAGTCTTCAAAATATAATTTTCCAAAGGATTCCTGCAGAACCGAGAGCTGCCCCAGACTCTGGAGCCTCGCTCCATGTGCAACTCCAAACCTTCGGGTAGGGCCATGGTGGAAACTGTGATCCCCGGAAGATGTGATGGGGCCAGAACAGCCCTTAAGTGCCTAGCTCAGTGCCAAACGGGTGGCCATGAGACTGACTTTTTCAAGCAGGCCCTGCTTCCTGATGCTTCTTCTGAAAAGGTTGTAAGCCTGATTCCCCACCTCCCTGTAGGGTGTGTGAGGATGGGCTTCGTAGACGGAGGATATCCTAGAGACAGATTTTTACGACCCAGCCAGCAATGCCTGCTTGGGGCATGCTCTTCTTCATTCCAACATGGATCTTAAGGGGTTCATGGCCAGCAAAGAAAATGGATTTTCAAGTCTCTAAAGGATTCAGGGGCAGGTGAGAGATAGAAAGTTAAAAGTGAAGGTAGAATATTAACTAGATTGGGACAATAAATACCAGCAATGACCACAGAAAACAACGGTGCCTAAAGAAAAGCAAAGAGCATTTTCAAACGATATCTATTTTGGGTCTTACTTTGAAAACCACTCAACTGAATGTGACCAATATTTATTGTGCACCTACTATGCGCTAAAGCATCGGAGCAGACAATGCTCCAGGCAGCTTGTACAAAGGGCCGGCAGAGGACATGGGATACTCAGGTATACAGACGGCTGGGCTTCCTGGAATCTGAGTACAGTTGATCCTCATTACTCAAGGATCCCGTATGTGTGAATTTACCTACCTGCACATTTATTTGTAATCTCAAAATCAACATTCGTGGCATTTTTGCATCATGGGCAGACATGTGCAGGTAAGTACAAAGCTGCAAACACGTGACTCATCCGACAGGAGCGTTCCCAGCTGAGGTAGAACAACGCAATGCTCTACCTTCTTGTTTCAGTTTTCATACTGCAAACAAGTGTCCCTTTCATGGTCTATTCAGTGCCCTGTTTGTTCATGCTTTTGTCCTTTTTGTTGGTGTTTTGCTGTTTAAAATGCACAGTGCTGAAGGGATGTCTTGTGTTCCTAGGCACACGAAGGTTGTGAGGTGCCTGACGGAGAATATGAGCCAGGTGTGAGTTACAGCGCTACAGGCCCTGAGTTCAATGTTAAAGAATCAACTTTAGGCTAAGTAAGATGGCTTTACACAGAAACACACATAAAAGAAAGTTCTGTGTGAATTGATTAAAAAAAAATATTGTGACCAGAGGCTCAGAGGAACCTAGTCTCGCATTTCCCCTAGGAGCAATGGTTCGGTATTTGCTAATTCGCTGTTCGCAGAGAATTCAGAGAGCAGAGCTCTCGAGAATAATGCGAATCACCTGTACTGGGGGAGATGGAGTTTATGGCAGAACTGGTTAATTCGAATGAAAACATCTTCTACATTACACAATTTCTTAGCTGAGAAACAGCTAAGAACCCCAAGTGGATATGCAGAAAGACAAACAACTAACCAAATGAGAAACGTTTCTCAGATCGAAGGGTCCAGGAACAAGAGGGCTTGTGCCTTTTTCGGCATGAGGACACAGGAGGCCTTTGACATGGCGTGGAACGGGGGAAGGGGGGGCGCTTCTCTTGCTATGTGAAAACCAGACTGACAGCCTGAACTTGAAGTAATAAAACACTACTGTGGTTTTCCATGCACAGAACGCTTCACTGAACACGTAATTTAGAATCACACAATTATGTTTGTTTAACGCCAATTAATTATTAAACATGTTTATTGAGGTCTGACAGCCATATAAGAGAGTCATCTTTTATATGCCCGATGCCTGTTAAGCTTCAATAAATATGTTAACAATCATTTGGTGTTTAATATGCATACAGTATTGCCTATTAAATTGCAGGGCTGGACTGGTTGAAACATTTATTTTTAAAAGTGAGGCCCACACTGGTAATAGCTGGATCAATTAGTTGGTCAAACTCAAGTGCAACCAGCTGAAGGGGCCCAAGGAGGGGGTTGCGGTAGGGATGCAGCGGGAAGAGTTCTCCCGCCTTCCAGGGCGACAGCCTCGCACGCAGGCTCTGCAGTCTGTCTCGGTTGGGGTCTGGGTCCTGGCTCCACAGTCTGCCTGCTGTGCAACTGTACACAGGCCTGACCTTCCCTGAGCTGCAGTATCTTCCACTGAAGCAGGAACAGTATAGCTTCTGGGGGCGGGGGTGGGGGTGGGGGGTGCAGGGAGGCTCGCTGTAAGTGTGAACTGAGAAGGAGTGGAGTTGCTTTAAGTGAGCATTTAACTCAAGGGTTCAAATATCCCTGCCTGGCAGAGAGGTGCAGGAAGGTAAAAAGAGGAGGAAGAGAGCCACAGAGAAGAGAGGACGATCGAGCAAAATTTTTTAAGTTGGGTCACTACGCACCCCTGCTTTCAGGGTCCCGGACAGAGGGGTGTGGGAGACTGGCTGCTAACACCTTTAGACACAACCACATTGTTCATATTTATCCATACTACCCGGTTCGGGAACCTAAATGCCACATGCCCTGAACTTTATGGACAATTTAAGGGACCATCATGGGGAACAGTGGCGAGACACGTTTTTGCATCTCACGTGCTGACTTCAGGACCTAATCCTAAGAGAGGATGGGATTTTTCTGCAATACTTAGCACAGCCCCCGGAACACAGAAACTGTGCACCATCAGCTGCTGTCACGATTACTGTTATGACTGCCATCATTGTCATCCTCCATGTGAGCGTCCCCATACATACACCCGCTGGGGAGGTCCAGTCGTTCTTCCAAGGTGGAGGAAGCAGAGCTCCAGAGCCAACCTTATCTGTAGACCACAGGCAATGATGCTGATGTCCCACCTTGGAAATGGCTATGAAGCAACTGCTCTGGGCACTTAATTCCCCCAAACGGGGCCATCAAAACTCCATGGCCAGCTTCCCTGCGCCAGCCCGAGAAGCGGATCATTGCCCTGCGAGGCGCACGCATGCCACCAATAGATATATTCATTTGCTGATTTAGATGGAAATAAACGTTTATGAATGAATTATGGGTGTGAGTCGTCAGCTTATGGCTGAGGAGCAGCTGCAGCTGGGATGTGGCGGCAGGACGCGTCCACAAAACCATGTGGCCAAATGGCTCTTGGGTGCTCCTCCCCCACCCCATGGATGGAGTCCGACCCCTCTGTGGAGGCCCTGTTCAAACTCTGGTCCTCCTTGGGGGCCCCCAGTCGGAATGACTCACTCCCTTCCACAATCTCTTCTCAAGCTTCACCCCTCGGCCCTCCACATCCTCTCCTCATCTGGTCTTCGCTTGCCTGAACCCCTCTTCCCCTGTCGAAAGTGACAGGTAGCCAGGGGCAGGACCAGCTAGCTGCTATTCGCAGGTGTTACCTGTGTTCAGATCCCGATGCTGCTCATCTTCGTCATGCCACCTTGGCAAGTCATCTAACCTTTTTGGGCCCCAGGTGACATCTGTTTATCTGAAAACGGGGATTGTCTTCATCCACTCAGCCCACTGAAACGGACTGCCACAGACTGGTGGCTTCTGAACAACAAGCCTTTATGTCTCGCAGTTCTAGAGGCTGCGAGTCCTAGATCAAGGTGCTGGGAGGATGTGGTGTCTGCTTCCTGCTTTAGAGATGCCCATCGGCTTGCTGTATCCTCATGTAGTGGAGGAGATGACAGAGATGCCGGGCCTCTTTTATAGGACACCCATTCCATTCATGAGAGCGCCCCCTCCTGACCCAATTGCTTCGCAAAAGCCCCACCTCCTGCTACCATCCCACTGGAGGTTAGGATCTTGTATGTTGAGATCCACATACAAATTTGTGGGGGGACACAAATATTCAGTCTCTAAACATTCCACCCGGGCCCCCTAAAATTCATGTTCTTCTCACATACGTAATATATTCATTCCATCTCGACAGCCCCCAAAGTCTTAACTCAAGCCAGCATTGACTCTAAAGTCCAAAGCCTCACTGAAATAGCATCTAAATCAGATATGGGTGAGACTCCAGTATGATTCGTCCTGAGGAAAACCCCTCCAAGCTGT